GGGGGGGGACATGAGATTGGCATGTTGAGGCTAGAGCTGGAAGGGACATTTGAAAATATTCAGGAAAATGGTTGGAAAATGTATTTCTTGAGTTTTTGTGGGTTTTTCAGGCTGTGAGGCCGTGTTCTGGAAGAATGTATTCCTGATGTTTTGCCTGCATCTGTGGCTGGCATCTTCAGAGAATGCTGGCATGGAGGTGTGTGGGGTATATATGCTGTGTGACCATTGTGAACAATACACAGATTGTTCACACAAACTGTGTGACCAATACACAGATTTACATGCTAATCCTCTCAACCAAGGGTCACACAGTATATATACCCCACACACCTCCATAGCACCATTCTCTGAAGATGCCAGCCACAGATGCTGGCGAAACGTCAGGAATAAACTATGCCATGGCAGTTAAAGTGGTGTCAGACTGTGTTATTTCCACAATGTAGATAAGCCAAGGTTTCCAAATACTAAATTATTATTATCATCATTATCACCATCATATCATCATCATCATTATCATTATTATTATTGACGATTCGGAAACCTTGGTTCATACACCATGGAAATAATGCAGATTATTATTATTATTATTATTATTATTATTATTATTATTATTATTATTATTATTATTTCTTACCTGCCTCTTTCCACGGATCGAGGCAGGCAACAGCAACAATTAACAGACCAAACAATAACTATTAAAAAGACGTCAGTTTAAACACACATCAAGTTAAAAGAACAAATAGGATGTATACTTATACTCTTCTGGGGAAGCTTGCTGGAAGAGACTGGTTTTTAATGCTCTTTTAAATTTTAAAGTCTCCATCCTCCAGAAACCTGGGATTTGTAGTTTTGGGAGACACCATCACTCTTTGACAGAGAAGGCTCAAGATCTTGTAAAACTACAAATCCCAAGATTCCATGGGATGGCAGAAGAGTACTTAGAGTGGTGTCAAACTTCATTACTTCTACAGCGTAGATGCACACTCCCTGTTGGGAAGAATCCTGATCTGACAAAAATCTTCACAATTTGGAATTTATTCTGCACAAAAGTCACCTATGGTTCTTTTTTCCCCCTCCTTTGTTTTGGAATAGAAAACAGCATTTTCTGTGTGGAGAACATCGTTTTCTGCAGAAAAAATAATAATAATATTTCTGGCAGTTAAAAGTTCTATGGCAGTTAGGGAAGGATCAAATATTAAAAAGGATCAAATATTATTTTCTATACAGAGAAAGGTGTTTCCTACACTGCAAAATGCTGTTTTCACTGTGAAATTTGCAAAGAAAAAGTCCCAAACTGCAAATATTCTTCCAAAAAAACACAACCCTATGCAGTATTTGAAGCCTGTCTTGTGATGGGAAAACAGTACCGAAATTATTCCTTGCTTGTTTCAAGAATGAAATTGATGAAGATTTATATCCCTGGTTGAGGCTCAGAGATTCTGGCTGCCCACATCTACACCAAGAGGATCCTTTGCTTAGGATTCCTTCACACTACACAATTGCGGCACTTTGATACCACTTTATCTGCTGTGGTGCTATACTATGAAACCTTACAATGTCCAGATTCAAGAGGTGCAAAGAATTTGGCCCTAGAGAGCGCTAGTGACTCACACAACTACAAATCCCAGGATCCCATAGGATGTAGCCATGGCAGTTAAAGCAGCATCAAAGTGTTGTAATTGCGCAGTGTGAAAGGGGCTTTTAAAGGTAAAGATTTCCTGTGATTTGAACACTTACAACTTGGCTGCTCAAAAGTGATCTGAGGGCTTCGTTTCAGACAAGGCTCAAATCCAAATTCAGGTAAGATTTTAGGGCTCATGTTCCAGAGTGGTGGAGTCTCCTTCTTTGGAGGTCTTTAAGCAGAGGCTGGAT